AGGAAATTAATAAAATGATATCATTTATAAAAAACGGATATATGGCAGTACTAATTTCGCCAGGTCAGCTAGTTTAGATCAAAAAGACTACGATGAGATTTGATGAAATGATATCAAAAAATCAAGAATAAAAGTGAATTAAAAATAAAAGCTTGCTGCTTTGTATGCTTCAAGTTCAATTCCTTTCTGGCAGGTCTGGCAGTATTCTATACTCCATTCATTATAACATTAGAAAAAAGAAGGTCATAGAAGCAGCAGTGCAGAACATTTTATTTTCAAGATAAATTTAAAAAATATATCGTCTATGAAGAGTCAATAAATAATAACTGCAAAAATGTAACGAAACGAAAGGAGACGAAAAAAACGTTTCAAATCTATTATATTGTTTTTTCAGTACATTGTAATTATTGTTTATCTTACAAAAAAATAAGAAACGAACCCAAAATCTTTGTCACTATTGTGTAGTAATCTATTTTACAACGAATAATTCAATAAAACAAAAATTGACAAAATGTCAGTTATTATTTATTGACTCTTCATGGGCGATATATTAGTTTTGTTGAAACTTTGAACGTTAGGTAGTCTGAAAAAGTTGGGCAATTTTCCATTTTTTACGATACCTTGGGGTTGAGATGAGGCCAGCATTTTATAAATTCAATTTTTACTGCCAAGCCAACATGGAACTAAAACTGAAACTATCTGTTTGTTGTTTTGATAAATTCTAACTGTAAGTGTAATTAGTTAGACTATTGATGAAGATATTGGAAAAACTTCCTGAAATGTCAAAGGTATGGGGGTTTAGAGCGTAATTTTTTTAAGCCACTCGGGCCTGTACCGGCATCGCCCATATTTAACAAAACTTAACAAAAAAATAAATAAAACAATAACAAATTAATCACCGAAAACGGCAAAACAACAAGATTACGATTTCAACAATTATGAATAAATAATAGTCTGACAAAATTAAAAAGCTGTACTGCCGAATAGTTTGAAGAGGTTAGGCAACGTTTTAAATTTGGTAGAGTCATAGTGACATGAGAATCATGCCGAAACTATCCAACCCTGCTTCTTTAGGTTCTTTATGAAGAACACTTTTTATTGCAATAGTTATTAAATCATTTAAGTTAGTTATATACTTATAAATTTGTTTAATAGATAGCTTAAATGACGACAGTTAAGTATAGCAGCTGGTATTTAAGTGAAAATGTAGCAAATTAGCCGTCAGTCTTAAAAGTAACATGTTTACTAATATTTTGTCACAAAGTATACCATAAAAAGAACCTTATTTAACTTCTGTATAATGCTATAATGAATGGAGTATAGGTGAAGCTACTTTCCCACGCGGTTCCACTGTGCCCAGCGTGGATCGGTTTCATATCGTTATGTATGTAGACATGCACGTATAAGATGACAATCTCGAGAATCGTTTTGATCTACCAAATGTCTCTCTTTTCTCGGATCGTGATTGAGATATTGTACGAGCACACCCAAGTTAAGTGACATTTGGTTGTAGGCAAACGTTCTCGAGTTTATCATGCATGATATGCATGCTAGTTACTACTCGACAGTGACATCACGCGCTGAGGGCCGGATATAAATGACGTTTAGCTATGTACTATCATAACTGAAATTTAATTAGTCTCTATTGTATATGTGATAAGGAATAGAATCAGATATAGTTTATCGTCAATCTGTATGATGTTTTAGTCGTAGATTTAAAAAGTTAATGTAATGATTCTTTCCAATTTCTGCGGCGGTTCACTGTCAAAGCAGTTTAAAACAACAATAACTCATTCAACAATAACATGTTGCTATTTATTGAGTCACGGTCGCGAGGTGAATAATTAACAATAGATATTTTGTAAGCAAATTGTTGAGAAGTCACAACGAGCGAATAAGAGACGCTATAGAACGGTATTAGTCAGATATATATAAAAATATATAAGTACTTCGATAGTTTTTGATAATAATAACTCTTAATTCAACGTCATAAAGCATACAATCCAAATCAATATTTGCATATCTTAGTGTGTTGCCAAGTGAAATTATTCATTCAAAACATAAAATGGTTTGCAATGTGAAGCGAATGTTATCAACAGTTATGTTTCGCCTACTGTGTTCTTTCGTTCAGACGAATTGAATTAAATAATCGTACTATAAATATTTGATTACATAATTACGATTACGGTAAACATAAAATTGTAAAAAAGTACTTTAGATATTTTAATAAGGAACAAAATAAATGGTGGAGAATAAATAATTAAGAAACAACCGGACTGATTGCATTTCAGGATCGATATTGCAACATAATTTGAGGCACGGACATTTTCAACAGCGTGTGACGTCTAATTAAAAACACAAACATAATGGCGTAATGTCTGTAATGTCATCATATGTGATAATTAATATAAAATGTGACAACCACAATTCTATTCACCATTATCGAGATAAACGTCTTGATCGCAAAGTTATTACTTTTGCGATTTTTCAGTTATTCGCGTATATTGGAAGTATGTCATGTTTCAAACATGACATACTTCCAATGAAATCCAATGCATTTATTTGAAACTCGGTATGACACAAACAATAGATATAAATAATAACAGACTCATAAATACGCAAAAGCAACAATTGTACTAATATAAAAAAAAAATGATCGTATTCTAGGTATTTGCCGTCCTTTTTTGTTATTTCAAATAAAAAAAAGAATATGGCGCTGATTATAAGTCTAGACATAGATTCACACATATTAAATTAAATACCATATACGCCATTATGTTTATTTCATATAGAGAAGTCCAAGAATAACTTCATTAGAATATGAAGTCATTTAAATTCGATTGCAAGATTAAAAATAACAAAAACTGATAAGTAAGTCTTTGTTAATCTATTAATATACCGTGTCATACGTACTCATCGATAAATTAATATGTAACCCGCATTATAATTTTTTTTTGTATATTTTAATGCAGCACGGCATTGTTTCGACTAGGGGTGGCGGCTAAATTTTTTGTCTGTCCATCAGGTAGATTGTTGAATAATATTAAAAACGTATCTTTATTTTTTGCATAATTAATAAATAACAACGATACATTGAACTACCCTCCAATCCGCATTGGGCCAGCGTGGAGGGTCATGGGTCATCTTCCTTAACCATTCATAAGGAAGGCCTGGGCCCCTGTAGTGTTGACGTAAAAAGGGCTGATGATAATGACATTGAACTAAAATGGCACACGATGTCATGATTTCATTTTATACAACGCTCTGACCTAGTGAGCCTTCACTCAAAATTAATACCTCAGGTCTAAGATTGAAGCATAAGAAAAATACGAGTCTAATTTTTTTCTATTCAGTGATTGACGGACTAAACACATTTTTTTTTTTAAATCAGTAATCGTCTCTATTTTGATTAAAATTGGTACCTAACTAGCGCGCTAACCACGTCCTCCTCGCGTTGCAAACTATTGTCTGTGCTATTGCTTTGGGCGACAATGTACCTGCACGTGTAGCATGACAAGCTCGAGAAACGCTTTACATACCAAACATCACTTTTCTCGGGTCGAGAGCGACATGTCGTATAGGCGCTCTCTAGAGAAGTGCCATTTGGGTGTAGACTAATTGACGTTCTCGAGTTCGTCATGCGTCTTCTATTACGAATAGAAGGCGACGTGCCGTCGGCGGGCCATAAGCTCAGTTAAAGCGAACAGACCACTCGGAAGTTGATAGCTGCCATTGACTTTTTATATTTTCGTTATGAAATATATTATATGACATACGATTGAATGGTTAATTTTAAATAAGTGAAATAAAAAAGATAAGAAATGGAAATGTCTATTCAAGTAAGCTTGTTTCAAGCACTTTTGAATCGTCAAAAAAAGAAAAATTTCCCTACCAATACAGGACATCTTTTAGCTGACTCCTTATCATAAGTAATAACATCTACGTAAATCATTATATCACCAAAATATTACGTAATATAACAATAATAAATACAACTTTCAAAGTCTGTAAGACAGATTGGTACATATAATTAGTTGTTATAGAACAAAGCGAGGGCTATTAATTCGATGCATTGCGGTCCTTAAAATAATCATCAACTTTATACATCTCTTTACGCATAAGTATGTTCTTTAGATGAATTTTAAATTTATTTATGGGTGGTCAATGACATTTTGTGGGACTTTATTAAACATAGCAATGCATTTACCCAGAAATGATCCTCTGGTTTTTTGAAGTCTGAAGCTTGGATCGGCAAGTTTATTTTTATTTCTTGGGTTAAGATTATGAACACTACTTTTTTGTGAAGGAACCGGAATGTTTTCTCGCGTACATATTATTTTCATAGATGTATGGAGAGGCAACAGTCAAAATATTTATTTCTTTAAATATTTCTCTGAGAGATTCCCTTGACCGTAAATTATGTATAGCGCGGACAGCTCTCTTTTGTAGAGAATGCATTGCGGTGTAAAGATGCTTTAAGGCCTTTAAACATAAAATATCATAATGTTACTTGTTGCAGTGATGTGTCGGAAACGTTCACGATGTCGCAGTCGCGTGAGCAAATCCTACCGGAGAAGGCCGCGCACGAGGCCGAAGCCGGCAAGGCCGGCAAGGCTGAGGATACCATCACCATAACTCATCCCACCTCGTAAGTATATGTTATCTTTCATTTACAACCTCCATGGCCGATGGCTCACAAAGCGGTATCAAGGTATCCCTCATCTCTTTCTGTCCCGCGTTCGATTCTACGCCTTGTAAACTATTGTAGAAAATTAACTTTTCTTTCTATATTGTCTCGGGGTTGTTACATCTACATTGTTTAAAATTTTTCCTAATGCAAGTACTTGAATTTTGCATAGATTACCATAATGGTATATTTACACTAGTCGATAGGGCTCAACTTATTTATCACCAAGCAATGAAAGCGAGGAATGAAAATAGCACGCCACCACACGCGGATGTTATCGACCAGTGTAAGTACGCCATAATGTATTAAGGAATCTGTGCAATGTATTTTTTTTATTTAATATTAGTTATTAATATTATACATACAATCGGTTGCAGAAAAATAAAACTGTTTTAAACAATAATCGCTGCTTTTAAGCTAAAGGACCACAAATCAAAATAGACCAAAATCACTTTTATTAAAAAAATGTAACAAAAATCCAATATTTTCTTATTTCACATAATTACAAATTAATACGAAAATACGAGTGTAAATAAGAAAATATATTTATTTTATATATTTTTCTTTTCGTCAGTTATATGGAGACGATGTTACATATCTTCAAGGGAAATATCGGTAGCGGCTTGTTGGCTATGGGCGACGCCTTCAGGAATGGCGGGATAGTATTTGCTACCATTAGCACAGTGGTACTCGGCATTATATGTGTTCATGCACAGCACATATTGGTAGGTAACATCCATGAAACATGTTTTTTTATTATTTTTTAATAATGTTAAAGGGTCTCCACACGATAGAAGCAGACAAATTCTGCTGTGTACGTAAATATCGTATATCAATAGAATTTCAACGACCTGCAGTTTACCATTGTACTATAAATAGTACCATAGGTAGACCTAGAGTTCAATATTATATTGTGCAATGTCTTCCTCACACATCCTTGGTGACAGATATATAATAATAATATTAGACTTCAAGTAGATAATACAATGGCAAAATGAAAGTAGTTGAGATTGTACTGAGATGAGACTTTTATTTAAACATTGTTATTCCATATGAGACATTGATATGTTGTTCTCCGTTTTTTTTCGATTATTGTGATAATTCGAATTCAGCGCTAAAACAATAATATGCAATAGGGACCTGTCCATTCGTTTATATTTTATCATTACCACTAACCTTTAAATGTCGTCGCTTTTGAAATCGAATCGAACTGGGAGAACTGACCATAGTGCACTACGCGGTTTCAGTGCGGAATCAGTTGCTGCCGGAACCAACAGCATAACGTGCTTTCTGAAAACCGGAGGAGATCGAGATCATAAATTTTCGTGTCTTGTGAAAGTTGCTTAGCTCGCGTATTGCGGATAAAACACACTAACCATTGCACAAATAATTACTCCGTGTTATCTATATGTACCTTTATTTTAAACTAGCTTTATGCTAGCGTGGTTTTGTATTATACCATATACCTAAATCTTCTTCTTGAATCACTCTATATTTAATGAAAACTGCGTCAAATTCGATTATGAAAGTAGTTTAAAAGAGCGTACAGACAGCGGGAAGCCAATTTCTTTAATATATATACATTTGATTAAATCACAATAAATCATTAACTTAACTTAAGAGTTATACACCATGCATGTAATCCTATAGTTTGACTAGCTTTCCGCCAGCGGATATAATTACAATGACAAATTGAATAGTAAAAAATGGTTACTATGGTAACGTTTTAATTCCCCATACAAACTTCCACTCCCATTTTCATCCCTTATTTGCAATTTTTCGATAAAAAATTAAGCCTATGTTTATTACATACGTAGCTTCCTGTAGATGAAAGAATTTTTGAAATCGGTCGAGCGTTTCGGAACCTGTTCGATACAAATGCACAAACACACAAACAATTAAATATTTTCTCTTTATAATATTAGTATAGATAAAGTTTAAATATTTCGTCAGCTAAACAGTGCAGAGAGTATGCGTGAGCATGTGAAGGACGGGCGAACTATCGGGTTCGCTGAGACGGTACGACTGGTATTCGAGCAAGGTGGGCCCCGGCTGCGGGCTCGCGCTCGTCTCATGGGGATCCTCGTCGACACCTTCCTGTGTGTCACGCAGCTCGGCTTCTGCTGTGTCTACATTGTCTTCATAGCCAACAACATCAAACTGGTCAGTTATGTTTGGAGACACTAGATTAGAACTTTGAAGGCAATCAAGTCAGATTTGATCATAAGTGGCACAATACTATGAAGAAAAATCTAAACTTAAAGAAAGTAAACTCCTAAACCTTAATCAGGAACAGAATTTTAGAGCAAGCATACTATATACCTAATTATCAAAAACAGTCAATGTTTTTGGTCTACTCTGAAATGAAATTTTATATTTGATCAGAAGTAACGAAGACAGATCGGTAATCAGATGATCATTGTCATTCGATTTATTAGTTTAAGATATAATTATTGACTTGTAATGTTATGAAGCAGTATGTAGACCGTTCAATTGTAGCGATTTTGTTTTCATTTGTTCAACTGTAGCAACTGTGAATTTTTATTTACGTATGTTAGTTTACAGTTACAGGTGTTAGTTTAAATTTCTTATGCGTTAAATGTTTTCAGATCTGCGACCACTATAACGTCCGCATAGACCTGTCTATCCACATGATCTTTGTGGTTATACCTGTTCTGTTGGCGTGCATGGTCCGAAACCTCAAGTTTCTCACGCCCTTCTCTACGATTGCTAATTTACTGATGGCTGTGGGCGTTGGGGCTGTTTTATATCAGGCTTGCCAGGATCTCCCAGACGTCTCTACTAGGGATTACATTGCTTCCTGGCAGCAATTGCCTTTGTATTTTGGTACCGCCGTGTATGCCTTTGAAGGAATCGGTTTGGTAAGTTATTTTATGTTGGTTTTTGTATCAAATAGTATTTTACTTATTAAATTGCGTACGATCAAATGTACTTTAAATAAATGATGCTTCAAACTAACAAATCGTACTAAATATACAGATGTGATGTAACTGGAAATATGTCTTTTTCTTTTATACGAATGCTTTGTGTATTGAAAATGTAGTATTTTGAGTTCATTCTGTCCAACACGATTTTATATTATGAATCGAAATCTCAGTAACCAAATTCTAAGACAAAGACTTAGTCTTCGTCTTAGTATTTAGTCGCTAAACATATGCAAAATTTCCAGGCATCAGATCTGTGGCGCCATTTTTTTCATATTATAGAATATTTTCCAGTATTCACCAAATTGATCAAATTTAAAACGTTGTTATCAATCGATCAAAACCTAATCGGTCACTATATTTTTGTTTTTATACTTGGAGTGAGAAAAAATATTTTCGTTGAGCTATCGTGCAATAAGTTCATATTAGGTGTATTACAGGTTTTGCCTCTGAAAAACGAGATGCGTCATCCAGAGCAGTTTCAGAAGCCCTTTGGTGTGCTAAACGTGAGCATGGTGATAGTCGGAAGCATCTTTATCGTGACCGGATTTTTGGGCTACCTGCAGTGGGGTGACGACGTACAGGGCAGTCTCACGTTGAACTTACAACCTGGTTTGATGTTAGTCTATATATTGTGAACATACAATACGTTTGTTTTTTATTTTATGGATTCAACACTGTATAGCAGCGCAAGTAAGTAGGTTCGATAAAATTTGGTATAGTAATTTTTATATTGAACTATGTTTTATGAAATTATATAAGGAGTTTATTAAGAGTTCTGAATGCAATTTACTACAGTCAATTTATCATTTTTAAACTATCGCGCTGCATTATTAAATACTCATAACACAGGGTATTAGACGCGATTTCACACTGACCTGCGCCGACGTTTTGGCCGTCAAAAATCGTAAGTCAAGTAAGTCGGCCATTGCGGAACACCTACAGGGGCACAAATCACTAGACCGAGTTTTACCGTACGCAAGTCCTTTCCATAAAAAATCAAGAGTAGTGCGTGAAGCGATTGAAATCAAGAAACACCCTAACAACTTCAAACGGAACGACGGATATAAATTGTCACAAGCGTGGAATCCAGTATTTGCTAAAACGCAACCTCTTTATTCGCAATCGGTAAATCTCCAGAAAACGGCTCATGTGCGGAATAGGGACACCGTTAGTATTGTTTGTGTCGGTAGTTGGATGAAAAATCCGAGGGTGAACGAAGATTTATCTTTGGATGCAGAAGCGTAGACTTGCTGCTCCAGTTTCGTTGTGACCACGGCCGGTGCAACCCGGTCGCAATGTCGGCGCAGGTCAGTGTGAATTCACGTCTAATACCCGGTATTATAAGTATTTAATTTATCATTTACTGAAATGAATTGCATTCGGAACTCTTTCGTATTAGGCCGTAAACTGGACGCCGGCGGAAGCGATGGCGGTGACAACCGCGGCGCGAGTGGTTCATACGAATTTAAGCATTTCTATCAAGTCGCGCGAGTCGCTGAACGCGAGAGTGTTGAAATTGTGTTGCGCGAGTGTTGAACTGATGACTAAGGTCCCCTACTGCTGTAGAACTCAAATGGCTTTGAATTTATCTTATGTGTTTTAATTCATCAGTGTAAGCAACGTGGTGCAGACGCTAATCGCTTTGGCGATGATGTTTACATACCCGCTGCAGTTTTACGTGCCTGTGCGTATCACGTGGCCGGCGTTGCGTTCTCGGTGCGGTGGTCGCGCGTTGGTCGCCAAGGAGCTCGGTTACCGTGCGCTACTGGTTTTGCTTACTTGTGAGTAACATAATTTTCGTTTGCAGCTTACCACCCGTCAAGCTTACGTGATTTACAAATTCCTATTTAATCCTCTAAGGGGTAGAAATAAAAAAAAAAACCTACTTAGTGGGTCATTTTGCCATTTCTGCCAAATTTTCCGTCGAGTGTGCACGGTTGAATATCATTTCATAGAGGTACAATTTTCAAGTTCGGACATTCGAAAGCCGACGACGCGTATTGCATTTATCGTTACAAGTTAGGCCTAATATTCGGCTGACCTCCTCCCTATTAGAATTGAAATTTGTAGAGACTCATATTTTTATTGTATTTAGCGAACTAGTTTTGATAACTAAATTGTTTTCGCAGTCATCCTAGCCGAGTCGATCCCTCAACTGGGTCTATTCATATCGTTGGTTGGCGCAGTGAGCAGTACGGCGCTGGCTCTGGTGTTCCCGCCTCTTATCGAGCTGGTGATGACGTCACAGAAGGCCGGAGGAGTCCACCCGCTCACCGTAGCCAAGGACATAGTCATTATTTTACTTGGCCTGTTCATCTTCGTCACTGGCACTTACGAAAGTGTAGCTTCAATAGTAAGAGCTTTTAAGCAGTAAGCAGTAGGTTTGATTTCACATTCGTTATCATTGTAGATGTCTTGACGAAATATTTACATTGACATTGATGGATTAAATGCGACTTTAAGGTCAATGACGACGGTTTGAATTCGAAATAAATGCAAGTGTAGGTGATAATTATGCCGTGTTTTTAAATAGAGGATTGTATTATGGAATAGTGATATAAAAATATATCTGTCTGACCTTAAGTTTCCGTCTAAATGTTGTGTTAAGGGAAGTCCTTGTTAAAGAAGCAAAGTATTAGATACAAAATAAATAATTGATAATCAAATATTTTTTGGAGATATATTCCAGTAGGATATTTATTTGTAGTTTCAATAAATATTTTTATAGAAGCCCGCAGTGGTTCTGTTATAAAAATAGCCACGAATTTGACGTCTCATCTCGACTCGAATAAAACATACTTCAAAAGGTAAAAAAGGTTTTATTTCATTGAAGCTCTATAGCTCTCACAGTTGCGCTCGACGTCAAGTTTGAGGCTACTTTTTAACAGACTAATATAAAAACTAAGTATTGTAGTAAATTAAGCTAATCATAAATAAATCACTATTAAGAGTGTAAATAATAACTACTATTGTACCATTTTATATTTTGTATTTATAGTAAATAATTATTCATTTAGTGTACAGAGTTTTACAGAAATATGATACACTTAATGGGTTGTTCTGTAACCAGTAAGCACAAAGATGGAGTCTACGTTGTGAAAGAAAGTTGCAAACACATATACATTTCATTATACAGTTCTAAATCGTCGTAAATTATTTAATGCTAATCTCTAAAATTATTCTAAGTAATTAAATATTAATCGCTCTATATATTTAAAAATATAGAGAGTAATTTTTGCGACAGATTTTATACGTTTTACGTTCAACCATGTTTGAGATATGGGTCTGAGAGCTTGCATTACAGTGAACTTCGGTAATGATACCCTGTAAAATGTCTTTCAGTATAAAGTTTCAATTTATATTCATCTATTTTGACTATGAAAAAACTTTGTACAAATTGTTATTCATCGAAAATCACTGTTTAAGTTGCACTTAGTGTTTTGTGTTCGTCGCTCTTTATTGTAAACTTGGAGCCGTGAGCGTATAAAAATGTATAAAACTTTTTCTTTGATTTTTGGAATGACAAAATCATGATAACGATTTTGTGACCTACAATAACTTAAAATACAGTTCCGGATTTAAGGAACTATTATGATGACATTTAGAACGCCAAATAAAACGTTATGGGTTTGGTAATTTATAGTAACAACAACAGACGGTACTATAGTACAATATTTTGAATTGTGCAGTATAATTTAAAGAATACTTGCCAATACGCTAGCTTGCTAGTATGGTATATAGTCAATGATACACTGTAGTCTTTGAGACAATGTCTTCTTAGACTTTTCAGATATTAATGTTATATAAATGTTAATAATTGTATTAATTATTATTCATTAGATTTGAATTTCGAATGAAATTTTATAAAAGTTGCGTTTAAAATATAATTTTAAACAAAATATTTAAATAAAGATTACTTTATTCTATTAAATATAGATTTAAATAATCCTATACAATATTTGTAAATTTATAAGATAAATGTTATTATTTTCCATTGTATTACTGTAATGTCTATGATATTTTAGCCAGCGATCGGTAAATTTTATTTTATGGTAAATAGTTTTTATTTAAACTTCTCATGGACCTTGTTAATTCCGTTTAATTTATTTGTGTAAAGTGTTTGTGTTTATACGTACATTGTTTTAGTAACGAATGGGGTGTACTTTACAATATATGTTCATTTATTCAGATCGACTAATCAGTTATCAAAGAGATGTATTTTTTTGGATTTATTTTAGAAAATAAATCGATTGATTAATTGATATTAGATTTTCTAGTATGTAATGTAACTACTTTTTTTTTGTAATTTTTTTGTGTTGCTAGCTCAATTATGTTTATCATAATTTTAATTATTAATTGAAAGAAAATAGAAGTAAAACAAATTCACTTGATATAATCAGATTCTAGTTAGTTGGTAGTTGGAGTGAGTAATATCTAATCCCAGGGCGTAAACCGTTCTCTTTGGTAGTGTTCATGGATTTGCTATTACAACCTCATGAATGAGAATTGACCTTTTTTGGGGAGTGGTCACACGGTATGATGATTGATGCAGGTTTGGTAATGATTAAATCGTCTCATGAATGTAAAAGTATATGATATCGACAAGTTTTTCTAATGGTCTCCGGGAGTAAGAATTGATAACCACGTGGGAATGGGAATGATAATAATGCATCATACCACACATAAAAGCATAATATTTTATAGTAATCTGTCTATAATTCATTAACATATGAAGTAGGTACACACAGTAGTACATCAGGTTATAGAAAAAAAAACATTCAGTCAATTTTAAAATTGATTGATTGATTGAATAATCTTTATTGCACTATGAAATACAATAGAAAGGTATATAAAACTAGATAGGTAACACAAAAGGCATTTATTTTTAAAATATTAAGGTACAATCGTAATTTTGACAGTTTTATAAAAGCTAAATGTTTGGTTCACTGTTTGTAGTGACGTTAATCGTTACTTTATAAATTTGGATACTTTTTAATATACCTTTATTAATGTTAGTCCATTTATTGGCCCAGAATTATTATCCCTAGGGGTATTATAATACTTTCTTATGGTAATACCAATTTATGCAAGTCATCATCATCATCGGCCTTTTTACGTCCCCATTGCAGAGGCTCAGGCCTTCCTTGTGGTTGGCTAAGGAGGATGCCATAACCCTCCATGCTGGCCAATGCGGATTGGAGGGTATTAACGACTGCAAATGCAGCCGGGACCAACGGCTTAACGCTTAACGTGCCTTATGAAGCACGGAGTAGCTCGAGATAACACTTTTCGGTCACCCATCTCGTGACCGATCCTTGCGAAATTTACTTAACAACAAAGATCGCGGGCCGCGGCGCTTCTCCACTACGCCATCGAGCTACTCCAATTTATGCAAGTATACCTACTATATTGTTTTAAAATCTTGGTTAGCAATACACCTATAAATGAAATATAAATACACTTATGTAAGAATTGCAAATATTATTTAACACTTTATTTCGGATAATACCAAAGAAAAATTTCCTTTTGTATATTTGGACTGCCCCTGGGGAAATACTTCAGGGGCAATAATTGCACTAACCAACTATTGTGTGTTCCTGTCAAAATAACTTTAATATTATTTAAGCTATCTTATTTGTGATTTTAATTCAGCTTTATTTACATAAGCGCATTATAAATAAGTATACATAAATTACGCATATCATTTAAATAATTGCTCCAAAACATTCCGATATTGTGCCTATGTTTTCATTTTCAAGGAAAATTTGTTATGAGCTATGTGCATATTTAAGTTTCTATGTATGGAGATAATAATAGGTCTTAAAATTTAAAATATTTGAAGTTGTGTATATTTTATAATGTATTCGATATATCGTATATTAATTTAATTTATATACACAATGATAGATAGCGTGTTGTAATCGTTATAAATAATCATTAATCTTATTAAAATTTTGTGAAATAAATTAGGCAGGGTAATGAGCATGTCCTAGTAAAGTGGCATTTATTTTACCTTAGATTTATATGAGAATTGTTTATATCAGTAAATATAATTTTATAATTGCCTTTTCGATATTGTTTCGTGTTCTTAGTAACATCGATACTGTCATGTATTCTATTGTGTAATTAAAAAGTATTTATTTACTTATTGGGCTGTGTTCCTAGTGATAAAGAGATGATTCATTTATGTATGATTAGCTTACTCCTGTTCCATAGTCATAACGTTGTTTATTTATACATTACATCGACCTTTTTTTTTCTACCTTAGTTTTTAATTTTCTTTTTTGTTTGTATGTATATATCAGCAGCAATTTGTAAAATTCAAGTAGGTGTTTTACATATTATCTATGCCAAAATGGTTGACGTGATACCGACTTAAGTTAATTATGGATTTAAATGCGTAGTTTCCCGTGCCTCATGCAATACATATTATTTTATATTTTATATATAAGTATTTAATTTTTATTTTAATGCCTGTCCGCATGTCTCCTCTACCTTGCTTTCTTTTATATTACATAATATCTACATTGGCGGCTGTGCTTTCGGTATTGTATAGAATAGAATAGGGAAAGTATTAAATAAATAGTATTTCATGCATTACCTATACCATTTAGGTATTATATACATTAACTAGATATTGTATGGAATACCGGATTATAGACCGTTAACATTATACACATAAATATTTATGATTTTTACATTTTCAATCGCCGTATCTATATTAGGAATGCTTATTTTATGCACTTATATTTTTTAAATAAACTTAAACCAATTTATTTATTCGATCGTTTTGAGTGTGCTTTTTCGATCACTATTGACGTAAATAATTATACCAGCAATTATTTTTAATTAGCACATCACATTTTTTATAAACATTTTAGAAAAAATATTTTTTAGGCAGCTTGCAGAGGCAATTAACTTCTTTAAGGCCTGTTTATTATGAATGTACAATTTCATTGGTATTGACGTGTACAATAGACGAATTGTAAATGTCATTAAAAAGCGAGAAATTATTTTTATCATTCCATTTACATTTAAAGTCCACTATACTCTTGTCAGTATTTGTAACGAAGATATTTTTTTTCACTTCGTTTTCTATGCTTATACACTTGCTTCCTGTATTATACATATAAATCGTAATATTTTTACGTGCCAGGGCTTCGTCATGAAGATAAGTTAAATAAACCTTCCTTTTGAATTATTCTGTATATTGATGAAAACAGCATTAAAATTTGTTGTATACTTTATAAAATTACAGTGTACAGACAGCGGGAAATTATTTTGTTTTATACTATGTATAAATACAACACGTTTTGATATATCACAAAAATACGTATATTTTTGTGTTATATCGCCTATATCATAATATTATTAAGTGGTTAAGTACCATTTCTT